TCCAAGGACTTTGCAGCGTGATTTGAAGTTGTTAAACTCCTACGTGTTGGAGGAAGGGCTGGCTGGATGACAATCACTCGAAATCACGTGTTATCTTTGGTATGCACGCACAAACGAGATCGGCGTTTGATGTGACACTTCCTGCTGACCAAACCTCCAACAAATTAGGTCGATCAAGTCTACAAGACAATTACGTCAAGTGTATGGGAAGAAGTGCCAGAAACGGAGGAATTTAGTTTAGTGATTGTATCTTCTTACATCACTTGCAAACAACCCTACTTATACTATCCATCTTTGTCATCAATACTTGCTCTTTCGTTCAGAAAACCACTTCTCTATAACTCTACATGTCATTATTTATCTTGAAAACCATTGACCCTCAAGAAGTGCACATTCACCACTGTTCTTCTATCTCACACATACATACATTATGTTTATTTTGGTTGTAATAAACGAACCTTGTCTTTATGAAATTCACCGTACAGTCAAATAGTTTTGTGCAGCCAAGATTGTGAGCCAACAGATAAATCCTTAATGCGTTTTCAGTATTTATGATTATTTCAACGTCACCTCTAACGATACTAAAAAGTTGATAATGTTGTTTGGACAGTCTACCTACTCGTTTAGAATGTTTACTATATAAAGTAGTGTTCTAACTTCCTGAAAACTGTGCACAAGGGAAAGGTTTGTGGACATGGTTCTTTGAAGTAAACGGAAGTGTGTAAAAGCGATGTATTATTCAACTCGAATATCCATCCTGTTGATTCCTCGCTAACTTCTTGCATCCACTTCCAGTAAGATAAATAAATTTCACAAGACTTTTCCATTTTGAAATGCCATTTAACTATAATTGGGCAATTTTACAAGAGCGTTAACCCTGACAGCACTCTTATTTATTCTTGTGTATTCTTCAAATTTGTGTTCACTGATATAGTCCAACAGTTTTATTGGCAATTTATAGTTCCCTAGTTCTATCCCTGATTGTCTCTGACATACGAACACTCATGAAACAAGAAAAAATATTGTTCCAATCATGCGGCCGTATTCAGACTCTCCACCAACTTCTCCTACTTGACCACAAAATTGATGAAACAATTGAATTGGTTTTGAAAGGAGTCTAACTATTCCATACTAACTACTTCTGCATCATGACGGTGGCCACTCCGTTTGGCAGCACAGAAGTGTTCAGAATTGACAATCTCCCTCCCCCCCCCCCCCCCTACTAAATGTATCTAAAATTTCATTACTATCAAGTTTTAACATGATTCCTCAATTGAAAAAAAAACTTTGACTTTCAAATTTTATTTTCGTTTGGAAGCTCCATGATGAAAAGTGAACTGTTAAAATAAAAGCAATATTAGAAGATATCTTAGGAAAGATTTATTTAATATTTGGGCTGCTTAAAGTGAATGTCATGTTTTCACGCATCTGCATTAACAAGTATTCACACTTCTCAAATTTTATCGCTTCATCTGCATGTTTGTGAACACTCCAGATTAAGATTTTTCCCGAATATTCAATGAAACACGTTACTATGAGAAATTTTCAAACAAAGCCACTTTATTCTTGTCAATGTACGATATATAAACATCCAGTTAACGAGGGAGAAGTCTTTCTCTAAAACCAGATACGCACACTTGAAGGTGAATAAGAGATCCTGCGGTATTTCTTGCATACACTGATCATTGGCCGAAATTGGTTTGCACATAAAGACAATCCTTCAAACTAGTTGTGCTCCAACAGGCCGTAATCTCATGCATTTTGGGCTTCGAATGCTCCTCCGCTGTCGCACACAACGAGGAAAGCAATTTATCTTTCTCCTATCCTCAATTGACATTCGGTTTAGACTCCTCTTTGAGAAAGAGTCCGCTTTCTAATCTTCATGGTCAGTGATTATACACTTAGATCTGATCATGTTTGTACTATATTTCCTCTTATTTCAGAAAGTAGTTTTCACGAATAGTTTAGCCTTAAGTGGGTATTCTGGTCTAGAGACATGAATTTTGAGTCATTTTTGAAGTGGGGTAAAAAATCAAGCAACATTTTTATTATCAATTTTTTATACATTATTTATTCACATTAAAAGCATACAAAAAATAAAAAAAACTAAAAAAATTTAAAATTCCATTAGTTACCAGCTGATGAAGTGGGTCGTCTCAAAAATTTGGCACGTGATTATACCCACGATTTTAACTCTCCTAGCAATCTGAAATCAAAAAATAAAAACAATAAAATAAAATAAAATCATTTTTGTACTACTTTTTTCTTTGACTTTTTAAAAATTTTAAAAATAAAAATTTGGGGATGGCCGTAGTTTCGGTTATAGACGAGTCCCTAAAGAAGACTCTCTTAAAATTTCGATTAAATCGGTTCAGCAGAATCTGAGAAATCGTGGGTATCAGATTCCAAAAACAGTTTTGAGAAAAAGGTGTTTAAAGTTTCAAATAAAATTTGTTGAAGTCTAAGTCATAAAATTATATTTTTACTTACATTTATTCAATCTGCCATTCCTGCTGCATACATCGGACCTTCCTCGACTTCGAAAAACTATTTTCGGCGTTTCTGTTTTCTATTCAAACAGTTCTAGCCTCCTTTGATGTGCTGGATGCTCGTATCTCGGGGCGGTCAATAGAGACGTTGTCTCGTCTGATAGCAAATGCATGCTCTTCTGGACCACTTTTCACTCCCATGATCGTCATTATCTTCAATATCAGTATAAATTCTTCATGAAAAGTACACACTGCAATAAATGTTGCAATTTCAATGATCTGAGACCTGGAATAGATATCAGACCCGGAATGGATATGCTTTGGAGCGAAAGTCCATATCAGCGAGTTTAGAGACTCTTTATGATTTTGAGTTTCTGAACCCAAACATCGAGTCCATAACTCCTCTGATGATAAACGTTGGAGGATTTGTCAACGAATGGACATGATGGAATGTAGCGTAGACTATTACAACTGCATTGTAATGCAATTTTGAACCTGAGTCCGCGTTGAGCCGTTCTTGAAAATCTAATCTCGTTGTTGTATATAGTACACGAAACAAACGAAGAAAATGCTGAAAAGACCGTGAAAAACTCCAAAACACAGTAGCCGTACTTATTGTCTTTAATTACTTCTTCATCATTTGATTTCCTCAATTTTGCTGGTGATGCACTCGTAAAACTGATGGTTTCCTATTCCAAAAATCTATTTCCGTGAAATATATATTTTGTTTTTTGTTCTATTAGTTGCAGCCCAACCGATTTGGATGCCTGCTCAGCAAAATACTTATTTCTCCAAAAATAATTTGAATTTTTGAAAATCCTCTCGTAGGCATATTCTTGAATAGTTAAACTATGAAAATATGCAAATAATTGATTTTTTTCTAGACCAGAATACCCCCCTTAAAGTCAGTTAATTACTTTGAAATGCGTTTATTATGAGAATTCTAACAGAGAACAAGCCTGATTTTCTTCACTTGTTAACGATATCTTACCATTTCACAATTTTGTCTACTCTTATTGAATGCATAATAGTAGTAAGAATCATTTATTCTTAACTCAAATGGCAATGCCTTAGCAAATTTTTGAGCTGCCCTTTAAAATGGGGGTGGGGGTGATTGGCTTGATAATTTATCCCTCTCGCCAGTGGGTCTCAGTTTTACCAAGATTTACAGTAAGCAACTTATCACCATGGGCATCCCACTAAGTTGCCCTTGGCTAAATGCTTTTTACGCGAATAATAATCTAATGAAAGTCTTTTTAGTCATGTGTGTGTGTGTCTTTCAAAGGCAAAGGTTAAATATTGGATGGAAAAAAATTCCTGGTTAACGTTAAATTTTGACGATAAAATATTCATCCAAAAGAGGTATGCTCTGGCTTCAGCAAATGAATTGGTACTTGGTGAATTGCTTCACTTTCATATCCACGTTCTTCTTGATCTGCGCTCCCGAATCTTTCTCTCTTACATATTTCCTTGTCCCTCACACAGGTACTATGTTGTGCTTTTGAAGCACCTTAATTACTGTGGAAAGGTACATTTCTGATTACTTAAAGGAGGCATGCTGATACCACCATACTGTCGTCCACAATCACAAGTGAATGTTGATTTTTTCCCAGTTCTCTAACAATCTCGAAATTTCTCCTACCACAATAACTGCAAGAGATTTCCTCCAGAGAACTACCTGCACTCACTGCTGCAAAATGACGTCCACAATTGCATCGAATACCAGACTGCTCTAAGGGCCTTGCAGATGGTGAATATTGAGAAGTGATAATAGGCGGGTTACTGAGTTCTGTGAATGTGAACTGTCTTCCACCCTCACCAATGTGGGCAGAGGTAATTCTGGATGCTTCTGCAGCAACTCTGTCTTGAGAACTGAACGTACTGAAGGTTGTGGTTATATGTCGTAAGGGCTTATTTGTTGAGAATTGAAAATCCACGCGTCCTAACGCTTCTGATGCATCAAATTCCATTGAAATTAGTTGTCGTTCTAGTTCACCGACCGTGTATTGACGGCCACACTCACATGTCATTATAGGAGATTGATTGATTATGGCAGTCATTGGCTGTTGGGAGATTAATGGCCCAGCGAAACGAATAGGAGTTCCCAATACACTTCCCATTCGTAACCGAGGTTGTGAAACCAAGGATGACAAAGTTGAGTGAATTTCCCTTAGATTGCCACTTTGATTCAGAAGGTTTGTGGCCTTCTGGTTCAGTTGTGCGCGTTCGAACTTTTCGGTTCCAATATAATGATTACTTCTCGTCTCTTATTAGAAGTTGAACTTGTGACATTTTGATCTCTTACATGGCCATAGCTATCGTCAATATATTTTGGTTTAGAAGCTGTAACACCAGCAACATAGACTTCATCACCACACTGAATTCCCACTTCCTTCAGGTCCTTCACATCAAAAACCTGAATTCCAGTACTCTCTGAGAGGACAGTCGTCAATTTCGTACCTTTCCATGCATGTATTGCACTGACATTTAAATCTGTTCACTTCCACTTTGTCAGGGGAATTTCTACAGGCAAATTTACCACATCAACTTTGGTCATATACACCTTGGTTGGTATCAAAGAGCACCGATCTCTGTGCCTGTGAAAACGGTATATCTTATCCCCATTTAACTAGCCAGTAATGTTACAGATGTTTCCTAGAGATTTCTAGACATGGGCATTTCAAGTATGGAGGATTTGCGACCAAGAGACATTGACACATCAGTGAGTTGAGCTGAAGCTTTAGTGAAGAATTTCCTTTTCCAGGTGAATTCCTGTCTGGCTAGCAAAAAGTATTTGGTGAAAGGTGCTTCAGGCATATGAATTATTTGGGCACAATCGATCATTTCTGCCCGAATTCCCTCGTATGCATCAGCATCTGATTTCATCAAAGCAATACCAACAGAACGCCAATTATGTAAACGTCGACTATTCATAGTAAATGAAGACCTCACTAAACGCGATCACACCATACGAATTGTTCCGGAGCGCATCAAGTTGCTCCTCTACGCACTCTGCTTAAAATAAGAAACTTAAAAATTAGAAATGATTGATATTTTATTTTGCATATTTCTACCTCCATGAACTCTGGGGTGTGCGATAGACTTACCTCCACGTGGTGCACCCTGGGCAACGTATACTCATACGGCAAAAAAGTCTATTAACTGGCAGTTGGCCTCTGACTTCAAACTTCCATAACCCCTCTGTATGTCATATTCGACCCCTTCCACAGTACTCATCTAGCCTTTTCTCTGCCTTTGTGTCTGTCTGTCTGTCTATTCCATCTGTGAATCGCTCTTCTTTCCCCCTATTGAATTTTTCTCACTTTAATGTTCCTATCTTCTGTGAAGCCCGAAGTCAACTAAAGGGCTGATGATAAATATCAAAATGCCTGCCATTTGAAATAAATAAATAAATAAATACCCTTATGAACTCTGAGACTGATTTTTCCCCGAAAATGTGTAGCCTTGACTATACCCATAAACGTTTGTGGCAGATTCCACCAAGTTTGGATAACCCACCAGACCTAGCTAAGTTATTGTGAAGCTATAGAGAAAACAGACGTATCGCGTGAAACAACATTATTGGGGATGTGACGTGGTATCTCTGCGCAAATTTGTGTTCGATTGAGCATGTTTTTCCTTCAAATCTTATTAAATTTTTTTCAATTTAAATAATGAACAAATAATTGATTGTTCATTTTGCATATTTTTTCTTCCTTTACAATTTCTCCATCACAAAAACAAAACTTTACATTGGTAAGAGTGGAATTATGGTTTTAATTTTCAATTATTTGTGTTTAATTTATTCACAACAATGGATACCATATTCGATCCCTTCCAAAGTACTCATCGTGCCTTCTCTCTGCCTTTTTGTCTGTCTCTTTTACATCTGTGAATCATTATTCTGTCCCAACCCTTGGACTTTCTGCTACTTTGATGAACCTTCCTTCTGTGAAGGCCTGTCTCTTTTACGTCTGTGAATCATTATTCTGTCCCCCTCTCTCGACTTTTTGCCACTTTGGTGTTCCTCTTCCTTTCTGTATGTATGACTTTTTGCCACTTTGGTGTTCCTCATCCTTTCTGTGAAGTCTTTTACTTTGATGTTCCTTCCTCCCTGTGAAGCCCGAAGTCAAATAAAGGGCTAATGATAACTGTCAAAACGCCTGCCATTTGAAATGAATAAAAAAATAAATAAATTTATTCACAATGTAGAAGGATATTTTTAACCTAACACGGTCATTATTTTAAACTCAGTTCGTTTGCAAGAGGAAAGAGACAGTGAAAACTGTTTATCGGAGGAGATAAAATGATTCAGGGAAAATCAGTTATCCTCAGGAGTTGACGATAACTCATTTTGTTCAATTCAGAAATCAATTTCCAAGGATAATTTATTCCTGTGGAGGTCTGAATTAGCAATAAATAGGGATTGATTGGTAACCTGCACTTTCATAGACTTTCAATGTCATAAAACTTACCTCATTGTCTTGGTCGAATAAAAACTCATATATTCTTCCGTCGTCAGCTACAATGAGGATAAATTATGATCAGATTTGAATATTACTTAATTTTACTTAACATTGAGTGGTGTCTGGTGATTGCTGTTTATCTACAACTTGCTCACAAAATTCAATTTTCAGATGAGGGAAATAGAAAGCCCACTCAATTTATCTGTTTGAACAATTTGCTCAAAGCAATACTGTTATGAACTTGCTGTAAATTATGCATTGCAGTAGGTAAGAGTGGCGTCTGTATCATCATCGATCTCAATGTCTGACTACATAGTGAATGAGTGAGGCTGTCTTCCATCTGCACACAAGTTAATCTCATTTGTTTAAACGAGCCTTGACTTTCTGCAAGTATGTCCATTAAGCTACGATTCGATCTTTTCAAGGAGTGTTATCTCTGGCACATTTGAACATTAATAAGCTTATGTGTAGATGTTTGAAATCATCCAACAAAGACGGTGAGGGATGCGAGTGGACCTTCACTGGTATTAATTCTACTCATCTTTCTTCCTATTCATCAGGAGTGCCTTCAATAAAAACCACAGTAAAATCAAGGTAAACAATAATTTGTCTTAAATTGTAGACACAGATAAATTTTGATTTAGATATTCGATGGCATTTGAATGGAATTATTAGGAAAAATTGATTTCCGCTTTGAAATGTATGTAAAATCAAGTATGGCACACGATATTTAAATTAGGAACATTAAGTTGCATTGAGTTACTAAGGTAGAAATCATATGCAAACAGCATTGCTTTTATTCCAGTTGTCAAAGCATTTCTAAACGCATTCCAGAATTTTAAAAAATTGTATTTATGACCTCATATTTTCAAATTAATCAATTCCCTGTTTGAGAGAAGATAATCCTGTTGTAGACACATCGCAATTTCTAACACAAGAAAATATTCCTACTACTCTTCAAAATATTGAATAAAAGCAAATATGACTCACAACCAAACAAAAGGCTCCCATTAAAGGAGATCGACGAGTCTAGCTTAAAAGTGGGCTTAATCACTTCGGTCCACTGGGGAGGTCCTTCAGTAAATAAGGACAACATCTCCACAGAAGAAATTGAATTTAACAAATCACTAGCGACGTATACACTTCCATTGAAAAATTCTGATGTTGGACGAGACCTCGAATGAAGCATGGGTGTGATTTCACACCAACTGCCTGCATGTCCAAGGGGCGATGAAGTTGTCAAAAAGATTTCCGCTTTGTTGAGATGCGGCCCAGTCACTGTATATCCACCAACAACTATGTCACCAACACCGGGTATATGTGCTGCTCCCGTGGAAGACCTAGGTGTTGGCATTGGGGGCAGTTTCCTCCACCTAAATTTTGAAAATACTTAACTCTCAAGTGATATTTGCTGATTCGTTACCTTCGACCTACAAGTTGGAGGTTGAAATCAGGCGAGGTCTAATATCCACATGCACACATGTTGGGGCACAATACTACCAACATCTTCCTAATTTTCACATGCCAGCCTATGCTGTTTCGGTATTTGATAGATCTTCAATTCACAGATATAAGAAGACATTTTGTAACAAAGGCAATACGACATGAATATTTTAATAAGTGATTGAGTCAACGGTTGCCAAGCAGTGTTCTTTGGATACAAATATCCAACTATTTATGAAGATGTATAAATTAAACATTATTTTTTCAGAACTCTCCAAGAATGATAAGTCACATCATATTGCATTACCAATAGCAATGAAATGAATGCAAGTCATTTTCCAACCAAAAGCAGACAAACTCACATAAATGCAGAAAATGCATTTACAAATATCTCGAAATTCATATGAACTTGATATCAAAACATGTTAATCAACCGTTATATGTACATGTTGATGGACGCAACTTCCAAAACCTTGTCAATCTGAATAAACAAACGACTGGCCACTCTATTTGAAATATCTTTAGTTTTCAGTTATAAGAGGAACTTTGCATCAAAAGCCGCTGTACAATAAGTAGATTAAATGCATTCATGTTAGCTATACCTGAGCTATGTCCAACTGTCATTAATGTCTTACAACTAATGACGATATACCAATGAGTGAGTACTTTCAGAACTCTCAAGATGCAACAAAAGATGAGTGAAAAATCTCATCAGATATTAGTGCTTTGTCAAGAGCAATCAAGTGAGCGTAAGTCATTATCCGCACAAAATCGGACAAACTCAGATTGATTCAGATGTCTGTAGTCGCAATCAAGGTAGGTCCGAGCATCACACCAGGCAAAATGTTTTAAAATGCGTGTAAGCCTCATATATAAAATGCTTACGTGTTGGTTACAGGTGAGAATTCCTCACAAGAGTCTAATCTTTTGTTACTTTGCAAATTATAACCTCCAAAAACAAGAACTGCATGGTCTCGAGCCACTGCAGAATGATAAATTCTCTCCTCAATCATTGGTTTGAGTAAGGTCACTTCACCATTCTGTGGATTGATTCTATTCACTTTTGATGTAGTCACACCAGACTTGTCATCACCACCCAGAGCATAAACACTACCTACAAGGAGTAAAAAAGAGTAATTGAGAGTAAGCAATCAAAGTTAGATCCAACCATCCAAAGCAACTGTGCAGGCGTCGAATGGAAATTCGAATGGGAAAGAAATTTTTCGTCCTCCACTTAGTTCAGGAATCGCCTCCAAAACTCCACTACTTGGAGTGGCTTTACGCCCATGAAAACAGATCATCGATTTCGAGCTGCGACGACAAAACAATGCATTATACATTTCAAATCAA